TTTTTTTTTTGTTTTTTTTGGGTTGTACTAACTTCTATCTCCTGCAGGTCTTGGTGGTCGACCTCGGCAATAGCCGCTTCCTACGACAGGTAGCGAACAAAAAGACACAGCGGCCTAAACGTGTTCATAACTGGTTGGCGCAGATGTTGTGCGTTTTCATTTATTGCATTTCGTGTGCATTTTTTTCCCCCCTTCCCCTCTCCAGATGGACGACGAGGACTCCATTCTCCCCCATAAGCTGCAGGCAGCTCTGGAACATGTACTGGAGAAGAGGAGGGAGCTGGCCTCGGATAAAGGAGACAGCGGTGAGCCTTGATCCTGAATCTTGTTGAGTACAGAGCAGTCAAATGGTGGATGGTGGAGTGGAGTAAGGTTCCATATTGTTCTTGTATGGACATAATAACAATACAGACTGGTGGAATGCAGTTCCATAGGCTTCCAAAGTTCACACTCACTGTTACAGATTCCTTTTGACCTCCTTTTTCCCTTTTCTCAGACTCCAGCTCCCTCAGCACCGTGGTGTCAGAGGCGTTTGTGCGCTTCTTCGTGGAAATGGTCGGCCATTATTCGCTCTTCATGGGCGGGTCAGAGCGCGAGGACGAGTCGTCCGTCTCGTCTCCCGCTTCGCCCGGTCCCTCCTCTTCCTCTTCCTGCGCCGCATCCTTTCAGCGGGAGGCCTTTCGTAAGGCGGTCACCTCCAAAAGTTTGAGGAGGTTCCTGGAGGTGTTCATGGAAACCCAGATGTTTACAGGTTTCATCCAGGAGAGGGAGCTGCGCAGACAGGGCCTCAGAGGTACCGGAAATAAATGAATACCTACTTAAAACACTTGACTAGTGCAACGCAGTGAGGTTCATGATGTCATTGAGGAAGTCTTTTCTTGATGCGACACCTGATCGGTCGTGTCCTTCTTCCTCCAGGCCTGTTTGAGGTGCGAGCACAGGAATACCTTGACTCACTTCCTGGCAGTGAACAGCGAGGCGTCAACAAGTTCTTAAAAGGCTTAGGTGAGACTTTTAGTCGGCGCAGATCCTTTCATTCAGTTGTTTGCAAAATGGGAGTTCCCGCAGGGGTCCGTGAGCTGTTTTATGGGAGTCCACAAAATTGTGTGCATGAAAAAAAAAAAAGCTTTGAGAATCCCTGTTTTAGTGTTACACCATTTTCTCATATTGTTTTCATGATTGTTTATTTGTATGTTTTTTTTTGTTTTTAAGGAAACAAGATGAAATTCCTCTCCAAGAAGTGACGTTAACAAACGTGATGACAAAAGAAGGAGGGAAGAAAATAAAATGAGTAGCTTTCAAATGAAAGGAAGGACCTTTAAAGTTGAAGAAACTCGTTGCAAGTTGTTTTGAGAACTCTGACCCCCCCGGATGAGCTTTCTCTGGAAAGCAAAGCACAGTGTAAATACTTCAGGAACTTTCCGGACAACTCATACATTCCAACTATTTCCTATAGAAAATTTTGACACTACTACAACTTCTTCTTCAACAGGAGGCTTCGGGTTAATTTATATTCTTTGTTGTTGTTTTTGTTTTTTTTCTTAAGTAAATGTAATCTCCCTTTGTGTGTGTGTGCGCGCGCGCGCGCGTGCGCGTGTGTGTATAAAGAAACTCCTGTAGCGTGTTCATCGGCTTTTATTTAACAAGATCCAGACTCATTGGGTGTACGTACCACTGTGTTGAGTAAATTAACAGATTTGCATGTTTATCACCGGCGTAGGATTGAGCACCAAACGAAAAGGCAAGAGGGGGAGAAAATGTGAAGACGAGCAGAAAACGAATGTGAACGTCTCTCAAGTGTCAAAAGGCTTGGCGGAGGGATGTGTGAGGCTGACGCGTGTTGATGTGGTAGGTGAAGCGGTGGCGATGGGTTTGCGTGAACCTTTGAGAATGCAACTTTATCAATAAAGTTGTGGATTTGTATTTGATGTATATAACACTTTCATTTGGACTGCGGCGTCATGATGTTGAAAGCAGGGTACACACACATGCTGATCTTTATTTACACTGTGAACAACACAGGGCAAGGAATATAAAAAAAAATCTATTTTAAAGTGCCTCCGATTAACCCCAAATAAATTTCTGATGTTCTCGAAGGACTTTCCTGACTTTTTGTTATTTTTCCGGGAGAACATTGGAACTCCCCTCGGAAGGTTGAGGCTGGAATCCAAACCCACGATAAGCACCGTAAGTCGACCACCATGACGCTGACTTTTTTTTATATCCACTGGAAATCGGTTTTTTCCAAATGGCGACTTCCAACAAATGTTACAACCGGTTTGTTTGCTTGCAGTTTTGTTTGCCTCAGCTTTCAATAACCGATAACAAATCCTCCATTCGACCCATAGCGCGGTTTATACATACTGATCTACGAGAAGGATTATACGTCTGTGTGCATGATGAAACGTCATTTAAATCTGCTGGACATGCTGATCTCAATGAACCAGATGATCAACTCAATGTTTAGGGTGCCCGAAGACAGCTGGGATAGGCTCTGACACACCCGCGCCCCCTGTAAGGATAAATGGATTATATAATCCATTTATGGATTATATAGAGGGTAGTTCCGAGCATCGCCACCAGGGGGTCTCAGTAGTTCACGCAATGAGCACAGCAAAGGCCTCCCAATGAATCGAAGCACGTCCTTGGAAGGAAAAACATCCCTCATACATATGCTTAAAAAATAGTATTCTGAAAAATTGTATGGATGAGAAGCAAAAGGGACTACAAATTGTTCAAGGAAAACAAATAAATTGTGTTCAAAATGCAGTGAAACCTCAATGGAATATACAGGTACTGTATATTTTTTTCTCCCCAAGGTAAGCTTGCAAAACTAATACTATATGATGACTCTGAAATCTTGTCTCAGCATGGACTGAAGTATTTTAATGTGTCTGAACACAATATGTCTTTGTTTATTCATATTTGTGTGAATGCTTGACATTCAGCATGAATCAGAACGAATATTTTTGAAACACTCACAATGTGAGTTTGCATCTTCTCCCTGTGCCGGCGTGGGTTTTTTATTTCTGGGTACTCTGGTTTTCTCTTCCTTGCTTCAAGTGTTCTCTATTCAGCCTTTTGTTTGCTCTCCCAAATGAAAACATTTGGGAGAGCAAACGAGACTCCCAATTGCGCCCCACTGTTTAGGAGATCCCATTCAAAACGAAATAAAAATTAACCGAAAATGATCTTTTGGGGTGGTCCGGTGGTCCAGTGGTTAGCGCGTCGACCTCACAGTGCAGAGGTACCGGGTTCAATTCCGACCTCCCTGTGTGGAGTTTGCATGTTCTCCCCTGGGCCTGCGTGGGTTTTCTCCGGGTACTCTGGTTTCCTCCCACATTCCAAAAACATGCAGGGCAGGTTGGTTCATGGAACACACTAAATTGTCCCTAGGTGTGATTGTGAGCACGGATTGTTGTCTGTCTATGTGTGCCCTGCGATTGGCTGGCAACCAGTTTAGGGTGCCCGAAGACACCTGGGATAGGCTCTGACACACCCACGCCCCCTGTAAGGATAAATGGATTATATAATAGATAGCTTGTTTGAAGAACTGACTCTCACATTAACGCAAACATGCACAGTATCAGTATATGTCTCGGCTTTCATACGGAAGCAAGACTAAACACTTTCGTGCAAGTGTGAATACTTGAATGCCAGCATTCACACGTCTAAAAAGAAAGTGTCATTCGTGTGAACCATCGACTGTCAGCATGAACATCATTTTTTAAAATAACTTATCATGAATCTTAATTGTGTGAATGTTTGACTTTCGGCATTCCCATAAAATTCCAAAGAAACCTGATATTGTATGAGTATTAAAAAGAATCTGAAACATTTCGGTCACATATTGTCATCAGTGACTGTAGTGACTCTCAGAATGAACACAACATAAACAATAATGATAACACCAATACTCGGCATCCAATCGTGTGTCCCAGCGTCCGCACACCAGCCAGAATAAAAATTTTTGACACAGTGTGCAATGCATTTTAATTCTTGGGATGCCATCGTTCACACAATAACGTAATGTTTATTTGAATGATTGCCTCTCAGAATTGACACATTATATTTTGATGTATGGCCTTTTTATACTCACGATGATTAAAACAATCATACATTAAATACACAATGTTGTGCACGTGTGATTGCTTGACTTTCAGCATTGTGTTTATGCTCAAATCATTCACCGTAACTTATGTAGGGTTTTTTTTCCCCTTTGTTTTGTTGTGAATAGGGTGTGAACGATCACATTCACAATGCAATTACTCCGTAATAACCGCAGAATATCACCTCGACCATATTTTGGCCCCGTTCGTTCGAATGTTTGACTCTCGGCGTCGACACAATGAAACAGCCTGCCTCCCGACCCCTCCCGGCCCCTCCTTCTCCCCCCCATGATGACGCGGTGACGGGTCAGACGTGCCTCCCCTCCA